TTTACAAGCACTCTATAAAGCAGAGACCTTGGAATGTACTTTACTTTGAAAGAAAGGTTTTGAAGGCTAATAAGCTACATTGTACAACCAGCCCCTGTGTGATTACACCCCTGTCCCTTCTCCAATGTTGATTGCTGTGCATAAGTAAGGGCACCCAACCACAATTTCTTCCTAGATACATTACAAACACTTTTTAGGCTATCCAGAGTACTTTTAGATCTCTCTGGAAATGCATTCTAAGAGGCACTACAAAATTTNCACGAAGACACACTCTGCTAAATGGACTCAACTTCAACTTCATCTTTATTTAAATTTGGAAAATATATAACAAAAGATACATTGGGACTGGCCTGCAGTTAGCGAGGCTATTCGAGGCAGGCCAGGCTACATTAATTTACTACAAACTAACTCGTATTCTAACTCTTAAAAAAGCTTGGGAATGTTGTTATAAGAACCTATTTCTACTGTTCCCCTCTCCCCCAAGTAGTGTTGGTTGAGTTGACACATCAACACTGCACCAGAGGGGAAGGGGGGGGGGGATGGAAAATACCTCATTTTGGTGAGCTATTGCATTTGTGTCCCAAGAGTTTTGACCAGGGTTGTAGTTTACAAGCACTCTATAAAGCAGAGACCTTGGAATGTACTTTACTTTGAAAGAAAGGTTTTGAAGGCTAATAAGCTACATTGTACAACCAGCCCCTGTGTGATTACACCCCTGTCCCTTCTCCAATGTTGATTGCTGTGCATAAGTAAGGGCACCCAACCACAATTTCTTCCTAGATACATTACAAACACTTTTTAGGCTATCCAGAGTACTTTTAGATCTCTCTGGAAATGCATTCTAAGAGGCACTACAAAATTTGTACCTGTTCGGTCATCCTAGGGGGACTTGAGTCTTTTCGAAATTACAAGGACATCAGTATTATTTTCCCAAACACTTAAGATGCAATTTAACTATTAAGAAAGAAAGAATTTTTCTGATTCCTCTCTCTGTCACCTTTTTGAATCCAAAAATTTAGGTTTCCTTTTCTACAAAAAATAGCCTAACCTGGGCAGTGAAATGTGAAAAATTAACTCTTCAGAAAATCATAGGGAATTTATTATATAAGCTTCGAAAAAAATTGTACATGGATGGAATGGTCATCTAGAGAGTTTTAGCCATCCTCAACTAAAAGAAAATTTTTGGCAATATTTGCTTCTCCGAACAGATAAAACAGTTGTTGGGTGCCCCTGTATAATAAACCATCATATGAATGCCTGGATAAAAGAAAACCAGAAAAAAATCTTTTATCATTTCCGTAACTATGCATCCTCATTGATGGAGAACAGAGCCTTCAAGAAACGCTATTTATTACTTACTGAATATGAAATGAGTGAGGTTCTGTAGTCCAGGAATAATGAAGCCTTCAAAAAGGAAAATGCTCATCTAGGAGAAAGCACCAGTATAAACATAACTTCTGACAAACCACTAGTAGACAACATGGAAATCACATTTTTTTTTTCAAACCTCTCTAGAGAAAAAATTGGTTATATTCTCAAGAGGTTTGAAAAACTGGGTTAAAAATCCAGTGTTTAACTGGCAAAGGGAAGCCAGTTTTGGTTTGAAATTTGAAATATATTCTCACGGAATAATATTTTGGCTATACTTTCTCTTTAGACAAAAAATCGTACCTCTTAGGTAAAAAAAATGAAAAAAATACAAACTGAGAACATAGTACAGATAACAGATTTTGTTTGTAATGAAGTCAGCCAGTATTAACTTCCTTGAACAAGGACGCATGATTCATAACCAGAAGAAAACCTTATTAAATGGCTGGTCAACAGATAATGTTGAATCAAAAATGGGTCTTCTCTGGTCAAATCCTTGAATGACCGGTCATTCATGATGCCAGATCCCTACTGTTTTATGACCAAATGCACCCTTTATTCTAGTGTACATTTTGGATACATAAAATTTAAAGTCATCAAGCACTTACCCAAAATATTCCCCCATTCAAAAGACAGCACTGTAACATTTTACTAAATATTTCCTTCACACCAACTGAACTAAAAAGATAGCAAAAAAAGAACATGAAAAAAATCATTTGACATGATCTCTAAGTTGAATCATTTGCACCAATGCTTAAACATGGCTGGTTAATAAAAACTCCTGTCAGAAATGTTATTAAAGCTTGAGCCAGCTAATATTTTGTGGTGCTTAAATTCTGGAAGATGTTTCGCAGAGATTTGGTAAAAAGATAGCAACATGTAACCCTGTCTATTATCATGGGTGACAGGGTTTTTTCATTATTATTGTTGTTGCTAATAGCCTTTTTATATAGTATTAAACTTTTAATGCAATTTATTAAATATTCACTGGTCTTCAAAGAAATAGAATAATATTAATTTAGACACTGGCTATCACATGTAAAAAAAAATGTTAAAAAAAAATGTAGCTCAACTGCAGACAGTGATTTGATGCAGCGCATCATGGTTACATGATAGGCCTTTTTGCATTAAGTGATCAAGTGATCAACTTTCGGTAAACATGAAAACAGTTCACTTTTGAAAAATTTTGTTAGCACGAGCTGAAAGAGCATATTAAAAATAATTATTAGGTAACCANTATTAAATATTCACTGGTCTTCAAAGAAATAGAATAATGTTAATTTAGACACTGGCTATCACATGTAAAAAAAAATGTTAAAAAAAAATGTAGCTCAACTGCAGACAGTGATTTGATGCAGCGCATCATGCTTACATGATAGGCCTTTTTGCATTAAGTGATCAAGTGATCAACTTTCGGTAAACATGAAAACAGTTCACTTTTGAAAAATTTTGTTAGCACGAGCTGAAAGAGCATATTAAAAATAATTATTAGGTAACCAGTAAAATGTTCAGCCGTGTATCTCAAAAGTAGTGATTGCAGCGGCGCCAAATGTTGGAAGGGTTCGTATGAGAAAAACAACTTTCACTACCCAGTCACGCTTGAATGGTTTTCCATACAAATACTTGTGAATTTCTTGAAACATTTCCTTTAGCATTACGGAGCTCAAATATCATTTTAATTCATAACAGGTACTTTGAGCCCTTAAATGCGTAAGGGAAAGATTTAATGACAGCTTAAAAATTTCAGAATTTACAAGGAGTAGTATGGAAAACCACTCAAGCGCAGGTGAAAAAGTTGTTTTTTTCATACAAATCCTTCAAATTTCAGCAGCTGTTGCAATCGCTACTTTCGAGATATATGGCTCAAAATTTACAAGTTACCTATTTTTAATAGGCTCTTTCAACTCTTGCTAACAAAATTTTTCAAAAGCGAACTGTTTTCGTGTTTATGGAAAGTTCATCCCCTGATCAACTACAACTATAATGCAAAAGGCCTATTATAAGTTTGACATGTGCCAATGTTCTGTCAGGATGTCTTCTACTTTGAATACTAACTAAAGTGCTCTGTTTAGCAAAGCATCTACAGTAGTTAATGAATCAAATAACATGTACATGAAACTGTGATATAATTTTCTCACCTATTTTTGTTGTTATTTGCACAGATGCAAGCTTATATATGAAAAACGTTCGTTGGAAATTCAAGGTACAGTAACAAAGGATTGCAAACAAAACCAGCAATTTGAATTAAATGGATTATCACGGCTCTCTTGAAGACTGTCATAATGTGACACTGTTTGTAGAAGAAAACTTAAATTTGCATGAATTCCGATTTCCATCCGATTGTTTGGTTCCCAAAGAAGACAAGCAACATTTTTTTATAATTATCATTTCCACATCAGCCTCTAGCGTTTCTCTTTCAGCCTATGTTAACGACAATCTGAACAACAAGTTTAGCTTACTTTAGATCCTTTTTCTTCTCCACTGTTTTGGCTCCGTGCCTGGTTCTTCGGTGAGGCTGAACATTAGTATTGTATTGATTCTCCGCGTGATTTCCTTCTAGAATACTTTTAAGTCTAAGGAGTGCTGTCATCCCAATCAGAGAATCTTTCAATCCATGGACCATACCAAGAACTATTGGCTTTAAATCGCTCATAATTGAGAAGATTTTCTTCGTTCAAATGTTTTTATTTTGTATTTTTTTGGCCAACTCTCTTTCCAGACCTCCCTCGGCAAACTTGGTAACCTCGCCGAGCTAGTGTGCAGTCCTCGTGAGCGTGTCACGCACTTGACTAAGTCACGAAACAGTACGAGGTTAATAAGGATTTCAGCCAAGCTTAATTTCTGAACACTCTCAGAAATCTCTTCCGATCCTCCCCCAGCCAGGACGGAGCTATTGTAGGACAGAGTTTAAGGTGGGAATTATTTTTAAACATAACTCATAACATTGGTAGTTCTTGATCTGTAACAGAATGATCGAATGCTTTCTGACCCTTATTAGTAGTTTCTTGTACTGACTCGAAAAAGAAAGACTTTTAGACTTCCCATAGACATTTTCGTCTGATTTAAAACAGTCGTGAAGTCCACTTGTGGCAAGACTAAACGTTATTAACGACATGCAAAAACGACGTGACTTCAGGTGTTTCTCAAAAGAACGGAAATGACGTCATAATCAGTGTGGTGACAGGAAGGGTGAAATCTAAGAAACCCCGATACCAAACTGCAATGACTCTTAAATAGAGGGAAAGCCCTATCCGAATAATTTTTTCCCCAAAAATTACTATTTAGTATTCCATTTTTATGGTAAACCGAGTCTGAAAGAATCGATTAAGTTCAATTTGCAAATGAAGACACCCTCTTTCGCCTCCAACCTCTCTGACTTCCCGAGTTCTGGGAACTCTTCATCTTCATGATCTGCAGGATAAGCCTCATGCTTCGTGTGACGAAAAATCCGTTGAAACATAATGTTGAAACAGCACTGTGTAAAAGCATCAAAGAAAGTTACAGCATGCATTTCGACATCACTTTATCGGTTCAACTCGAGAGACACTTCTAGCAGCTCTGTTATGATACCCCACAGCAAAGCTTTTGGCATGCTTCGAACAATTCTCCTGCTATCAGTTTTGCTTTGCACAATGGTTACATTGTCAAGTTCCAGGACATTCTGTCCGAGAATATTTTTTCAAAACATCGACGAGAAGACCATGCCCTATAAAATGATCGAGGGGGTGTACGTCAAACAAAATTACGACCACAACAACTTTCCCGTTTATAGACGAGAGCGGGACAACCTGATTTTTTATTACAGCAACAAAAAGTACGGATATTACGGCTTGAACAGGTACGTATTTGGAGTCTCTTTAAATCACTCGTTTGGCGTTGCTGCTGAGGTTTTTGGCTTTAGTAACCCGACAGCTTGGCCTGCCTCAGGAAGTTTGAACAGAAACGATGTGTTTGAGGGATTAGTTCGAGATTGGCTTTACTACGACAGACGGGACTTCAGATGGCGCCGAGTCCAATCAAGCAGCTCTTCGCCCATGATCAAGGCAGTGTGTGTCGATGAAGATTTCAGAGAATGCAACTCTGACAGAGTTTACTTAAACGAAAGCTTTAACGATGACAGGGGAAACACTTTGAACGATCCCGCTCAGCATTATTTTTTTCGGAAACCTGGTTTGTTCCGCAATCTTCGCCCTGTCTACGAGCACAGTAAACAGTCTTGGTATCTGCAGTATGTTGACGGCTACTGGGTGGTGACAGCAGCATATCTGCCGAGAAATTCACAACACAAAGCGTACATGAGAGTAAAGGATCCAGCTCTTCGACCTGAATTCATCAGTAAGACTTGGTCGATTCATTATAGTGGGTGGCGTGATATGGCCAAACTTAGGGTGCTATGTAGGGGCGTGACAGCGATGTCGAACTCTTGCCCATCAAAGCCGTGTCATGGCAATGCCACTTGCGTTTACACCTCTAGAAACGATACGCTTTGTCTTTGCCCCCCTGGTTACACAGGGGTTAAATGTTCCGTTAACAAACAGTGCCCTACCCCCACCCCAAGCGTTGTCTATCATAGGAAACGACCCGGTGATCTGGGTGTGTCATTTTGCAGTACTTTCGACTACCCCTCTGTCAGGTTTTCTGTCTGTGTCGATGGCAGGTACTATACATTATGGAAAAGGCGAGGGATCGCATGTGGCAATGTACCAAACCCGTCAACCACGTACACTCGAAGACCTTGGAACACTCCCACTCCGAATCCATGGTTCACTGCTACATCAGGTACAAGAGACCCCTGGAACACCGGTGGAATATCAACCGACGATTCTTGGTGGGGCACGGAAACTTGCACAACCAAAAGTCGTTTTGGGTCTGGAACTGATAGTTTTGATCAAGGCGAGAGCGAGAAAAGGATTAATTACAGTCGTATTATATTACCCGCGGCTTGTGGCGTTGCAGGCCTTGTAATCATAGTCCTCTTACCTTTACTCCTGTGTCGGAATAATAGGCAGTCCAGAGGAGCCATATTATCACAGAATCAGTATACAATGGGACCCGTCTTCAGTCATCAGCCTGCTGCCTTGCATAGAAGTGATTCTCATACGTCACTTGGCAGCGTAGGAGGTGGTTCCTCTGGTGGCGGGGATGATTAATGATGTAATTCGGGAGGGTCTACAGTAGATTTTTCGGGATTCTGGATTTTAAAGTAACCTGCAGAACAAGCGCTGTTTTGTTTTTTGGCTGAGAGTGGGTTGTAAGTCCAGCGGAATTACAACCCACGCTGGACTTACAACCCACTGTTGCGCTCTCAGCATGTCACGCCGTAAGGCAAGAGAAACGTACCTCATAGATAGAGACAAAACCCTGTCACCAGACGGTCTGAACCGAAGGAATGAACATTGAACATTTTCTAATTTTATTTTTATTGCATAATCATTTACCTGTATATCATTCTATCTAGTATTTATATTTGCAGTTTATTATTAACCACTTATGTCAATTTCAAATTTAAATTTCAAGAACCGTTAGAAAATATTTCTCTCGGTATAGCTCTGGCCCTGAGAGGGGCTAATTTTGTTAGCCTATAATAAATTAGCCCTTTGCCGCCGTGCCAGCCTTGCATTCAGTTTTGTTTCATTTTACTGTAAATGTTACTGAAAATTTGCCTGCCTTTTCGGTTCTTGGCTTTCCGGTTTTTTTTCTGCTTCCTTGCTCGTCCGTTCATTTGTTTGCTTGTTTTCTATTTTCCTTGATGTAAAGTCATTAAGCCCATCAACACGTTGTGGTTCTAATCCGGCGGGTCGCCTTTTCTCGCGTGGGGTGATTTTCACGTGCGCTCGCGTTTCGCTCGCTCTACTATCCCTGAGGAAAAATGGGGACTACTCGTAGTCTAATAAAATGTAAATGTCATATATACCACAATACGTGATATTCAAGGATACCAAGGATGTATTTCTTTGTGAATTATCAACAAAATAATAATAATGACAATTTAAAAAATACACTGAAGATGTTGATTATTCTTGATCAGAAAAGCTGTTTACTTGAGTTACGGGAAAAGGGCGGCAAAAACTTGCAACTTCTTTTGCAACATTCAGATGTAAAACGAGTTGAAAAGCAATGTTGCACGTTTTACCACCCAGATCAAACCTACCCTGCACAGGGGCAGATCTAGGGGGAGGGTGCAGGGGGTGCGCCCCCCCCCCCCCCCCCCCCCCCCCCCC